ACTTTACGTGGTATTTCAATATAAGGAGGCTAGATCTACACATTGGGGCGAAGTCTTAATGAGTTAAGTTATTAACGTAGAAGGTGACTGATTTACTTGAGTACGCTAAGTGTACAAGCCTGTACGTGCAACGTACAAGCCTTTGAGCCAGTACACCTAGCATACCAGCTGAGTATGCCCAACGTACTGAGTCTGATGACATGTCGATGTTGGGCCATGGTTTAGGCTAGGATTGTCACTATTTGGATAAAACCAAATTGTCCAATTGGATAATTTGGATTTAACAATTTGATTCGGATAATCGGATCTTTGGATTGGTTTTCAACAAAACCAAATTATTATTTTTTGATTTTGGATTAGTTTTGGTTTATAAAATAAGAACCGAATAGTCCAAAAAAACCGAATAAACATTTATTATCTATTTATTTATAATATATATCTATAGTTATTTATTAATTTTGTAATATATTTTTTCAAATAGGTTCAAAACGTTTCACCTGATAAAAATAACATTAATATGCATTTTCTCTAAAAAGGTTTCTATCTGTAAAATATTTAACTATAATATATCATCTTATTAGTCTTTATAAATTTCAAATCACAACTAAATAATTTGTTTTCGCTTTTTGTGTAAAGTTGAGGAATATTATAACTATATGTCGTTTTAAAATGTTTCGGTTTTTGAAAACCGAATTATAAAAACCGATCAACCGAATTGTAATTGGATCAGATCGGATCAGATTTGATTTTGGTTAAGACTATTCGGATCCATGTTTTGAAAACCAAAATCAATTTGGATTCACTTGATTGGATCGGATCAAACCGATCCATCCAAACGAACACGCCTAGTTTAGGCCTCGTCTTGGGCTTAGTAGGTTGGGATTTAGTTAGACCATCTTTTTAGAAGGTTTTAGGCTAGGAATATTATTGGGCTTTATGCTAAGGCCATGTGAAGCCATAAACTAGAGAGTCTTGACCAATTTGAAAGATCATTTAATGTAGGTTAAATAACTGAATTTTGGGTTTATCGATCAAATAAGGGAAACTCAATGGAATTCATAACTATCTCAATTTTTTCCTTTTTTCTTTTTATTGTCTGAATATTCAGGAGCTAAGACCATTCCAATGCCCCTTTTCGCCATGCATAAACTAAACCAACAATTAAGATAAGCACGAAATTTAAAGCTTCTACAAATACAGATACACCTAATACATCAAAACTCATTGCCCATGGATAAAGAAAAACCGTTTCAACATCTAAGGACCCGTCTATTATTATTTTTCTTGATATGTTTGTAGGATATATAGAGAGAAAATCTACTTTTGGGCCCATTGGATTATGGTTATGGGTTTCATTCTTGGACCAAGCTAGGTGAGGGGTAAAATGGTCTTTTTACCCCATGTAGAGATTTTTGGTTATGATGTAGCTCCCAAATGTTAAAATAGTTTTTATATGGCAATTGATAGCTCGGGCAATCAAGGATTATTTGTTCCATTCAGCCTTTCGAGGTGAGTCTCCTCAGTGGTATAGTGGGCTTGTATCTTATTATTATTCAAGTGTGGGCGGGGCCATTATCTCATTGGGTGGGTCCCGTTATTCAAGTATGGGCAGGGTTCGGTATATGAGTGTGGCTGGGACCTGTATCTTATATTTTCGGGGCCTGTTATATGACATGTATGATATGTGGTACTTTGGGGAACTCACTAAGCTTTGTGCTTCTGGCTTTAGTTTATGTTTCACGTACTTTCAGTTCCAAGGGGAAAAGCTTGGGTTGACTGCAACGCACACACCATATGGACTCTATTTATGGGACATACTCTATTTTCATGATGTTTGACATACTTCTTTTATTGGGTTGTAAGAACAATGTTCTGGAATACTGTTTTTACTTACATCGAAAATGAAAATTTTAGTTCATAATTTTTGGATGTTACAAATATTCAGAGTTGGCGATAGATTTATATTTTCACGCTCTAATATTTCCATTTATTGAAAATTACTTCCGAGGTTGAAATAGATTGAGGTTGAAGATCAATTTCGGGTTGAAAACTAGTTTCCGGTTAAAAATCATTTTTGATGTTGGAATGATTTGAGGTCGAAAATTAGTTTCATGGTTTAAATCAAATTTTGGTTGTCGAAAATCGACTTCAGGGGTGAGAAATCAAGTTCAAATCGAACTCAATTACGTGCCTATGGCATTGCAGTCTTTTAACCAAAGAAAAGGGGAGGAAGATGATACAATATCAAAAAACTTTATAAATTTTAAAGGACTGATGTTTGGGATGATTGAATCTGATTTTTTCGTAAGCATATTTCATGTTAACAATATATGTTGGATTAATTGCATTCTAGTCAAAGGTGGTCTGGAAAGTAAATTTTCAAAACTTGTCATATTTGTTTTTTACTTTTTTGGATTTGAAGCTTCATTTTATTCCACTTGTCGATGGGGAGTATAAAATTGATATATCTATCTTGAGCACATATTCAGGCCCGTTTGAAGGTTTTATAATCTTATTTCGACTATAAAAAAGGGAGAATTTGATACGGGCATTCGAAAGAAGATTGTGACTATTCAACATGATAATTTTACTAAAGCAATAAAAAGATTTATTGAAATCAGGTATTTTTGGTGTCTAGATGAGCATATTGGAGTTTATTTGTCAATTAGCTAGGTGCTTTATTGACTCGACTTTGGTTCTTCTTGATCAAGTTTAATTTAGAATGTTGCTCTTGATTTGTTACATTGCGCTTTTCAATTTTCATGACTTTAGTGAATGTTCTTTATGATTATTTTGAAGATTCATGTGATGTTGAGGGGGAGTTTTTAAAAGGATTTGGGAAGTATAGAAGAGATTCAAAATGCTTATTTCTGAAATGTGTATTTTTTTTTTAAGAAATTGGGTAGGGTTTTATAGTGGAGAACTGTATACCTTGAATCGTGTAAACATTGTCCGAACTGATATTTCTACCATATACTCAGGATACAAGAAATTCAGCATATGATAATCCTAAGGGGACATTTATGAATCTAGGCACAGAAATCGTAAGCCAAATTCGTAGAGAATTCTGAGTTCGTATGAAGAAAAGCGAGAGCTAAAAGATTCTCTCTTCTCCATAAAAGAAGAGTCATTTACATAGAAAATGATATGTTGGGTTTCGATATTAGGGTTGGCTGTCATGGGTTTAGTATTAGCAGGACCCCAGCCAGGGGCTCTGCCCCTTGGACCCTAATCGGGGGGCTGCCTCTAGACCTCGCCAAAGGGGCGCTGCCCCTTTGGAAGCCCTGAACCCGGGGATGCGGCCCCCAAACCCCCGACTTGTCGTCGAACTAGCTTCTAATTCGATCTTATACATGTGTGCACTTTGCACATATCCAAACATATATTAAAGTACAAATAAAGAAGCACATTAGCTTACTAAAATGTCCTTGTGACACTAAAATCACCAACAATCCTCCCCCATTTTAGAGTAATCCTTGAGCAAACATAACATTATCAAAACAAAACCAAACCAGTACATAAATGAAAATGTCGCAACGATTGAATTTCCACTTAGTATCATACTCTTAAAAATACTCGAGAATCAAATTGTTCTAAGAATTGAACCCATCAATCCAGTTGAATACAAAAAAGAAAAATACATACTAGTTTATTGAATTTTCTTGCAAAATACAATGTGGCGACAATGCAAGATTGGAGTTTTTGGATTTCTTCGTCGTTGCTACTCATTATAATGTCACAAATAGACATCTTATTCGCTAGTTTCTTCTGGGGATTTTAGAGTCTCATCATCCATTCTAAACTTAGAATGGGAGAATGTTCGGATGTAAAGTTCTTCATGAATGATAACAAAGAGAAAACATGGAAGACCTAATTAGACATGTGGTTTTTTTATGCCTTGCGACTTCAAAGAGAGACGTGTACATGCACCTCTATAACAGTGATTGTTATATTCATTTTAGAGTGTGCTTAATAGATATAATCATTAAGACTTGTGAGTAGAGGTATTTAATTTGACTAGATCTAGTTTATACATTTTGTAACACCTCACTGTGATAGATTATATATTTTAAAAACCCAAATCGTCGTGTCGATTGTGATCTTACTATTTCGCATGTCAAATTCAGGTTTTTTGTCCTCAAAATTACTGCGATTCGAAATTACGAGCTTATTTTGTGTAGTAGGTTTTCAATTATTTTATTAGATTATTGTTGTTCACCATACATGATGTGAAACATTATTTTCTTTCATTCATTGTATCGAGATGGTTTTACATTTGAATTTGATGATGGTATCATTTTGGTTTTAAAAAATAGTGATCTTTATTTCAAAGCAAAAATGTGCAATGGCATATACGAAACCATTATAGGTTTGAGGAAAAATGATAACATAATCTTAAATGTTGATTCTTCCAAGTATAATAAGAATAAATTGTGTCTGTGGCATTGTCGACCTAGTCCTATAAAAAGGAAACGCATCGTCAAGCTCCAGTCAGATGGGATATTTGAATCATTTGACTTAGACTCATATGATGTATATTAGTCTTGTTTACTTGACAAAATGACAAAGGCACCATTCACAGGTAGTTGTAAAAAAGACAAAGATTTTTTGGACGTTATTCATACCGACTTATGTAGATTGATCAGATCTGCCATGAGTTATGCCATGAGTTATGATAAGAGATATTTTTTTATAGAGTAAATTACATGAATGGTCTATACGGTTTAGGGTAATTTGCGCGTTTAGTACCTAACTTATTTTTTTAATTTGGAAAGTCTCTACTGTTTATTTTTGTTACGCACTTGGTCCCTGTCTCCACGAATCACAAAATTAAAAGGACTATCAACTTCATAAAATAGAGAAATCGGCCAAAGGTAACTTCCTTTTGTTTCTTATGAGTTTTTAAAATATGAATTATGTAAATAAAGACAAACAAAATCATTCGCAAACACTTTTTTATTTTCTATGGTTTTAAGATTATTAACATAAAGGTTTTACCTTTAGTTGTACAAAAATTGGAAGGCTGGATACTTAGCAAGTTCTTGAGCAGGTTTAACGTTTGCGAAATCTTTTACTTGTAACGAAGTAGAGAGTTCATCAACAAACACTGGCATGCTGCATGTGAAAAGATATATTGTTCATTAGAAGAAGTTTTTACGAACTTTATTTGGATATTGAAGCCAATTACTCAATTAAGCTAATAATCATGATATTGTTTTCGAGAGAGCATTCGGAATAAAAATCACCATGCATATACATTTTAAGGAAGTTAAAATTATTATTTGATGTCTATGGGCTCCAAATTATATTTTCGAGGGTTAATCATTAAAAATAGGTATATATTAATTTTTTTTCGGCATTATCCTCAACTTCTTTTAATTTAATTAAAAAATGCCTGTTTTTTATGTGGTCATTTTATAGGTTTACGATAATTTTCTAGTTTAGTCAAACTTTTCTTCCCTTCAAATTCAATTTTTTTTTTTCAAAAATTCCATCTAACTTTTTTACTAAAAAAAACCTTTACATTTGACGATTTTTTGAATTATAATTTCAGTTTTATGTTTTCCCCGTTAAAAGGATTTCAGACTCAGACATGATTTCGATCAATAATAATGTCATCATATTCATATTGAAACTTAATTTTCGTTTTCATTTGAATCAATTTTTTTTCGACTCATAGGTGTCTTTTTCTTCTGTTGCTTTTTATATTATTCTTAATTGTTTTAACCAATTATGGAGAAAACATTTGATTTGTTCAAAGCAAAGAGAAATGTTATTGTATCTATTCTTGTGACATAATACATATCCAAATTTTTTTGCAGGATGTTTATAATTTTTAGTTGGTGAAAACAATACACTAAATTGATTCGATATTTCTAAGATATTAAGAGTGAATCTACCATATAATCTATGAATTTTCTACTCAAAATAATGTTATTCATCAAAGAGACCATCGGCCAAAAGTAATACCTCAAATGGTCATCTAATAGAAAGGGATTACTATTGGAATCTTTGGAATCTTTTGTCATTACTCTCCTCAAGCTTGAAATAACCTGATAAAAGATAAAATATGTCGAGCTATTTTATATACGACGTGATGTGAATAGAAATACTTCAATAACGAAAGAATTTAAAATCCATTACTTACATCTTGGGATACATGCTGAGTCTTGGACACGGGTGTTGAAAAAATCGTGCAGATTCTATATAGCTGATAGACGTTTAGAATCTGGAAACGAATGAACCGTGAAATCAAATAATGAGAGGCAGAAGAGAGACAAAATTGCATTCAATAAATGATTGGTTGGAAAACATATATGTATTCATTTTTCAATTTTCGATGGTACGTTGAATGTTTTTGCCGCAAAAATAAATAATTGGTTGAGAATTATTCTCTCATTCTCAATCTTTTTTATTTTCTCAATTAAAATTACCTATATATATATATATATATATATATATATATATATATATATATATATATATATATATATATATATATATATATAAAACAAGAACCTTATATCCATTGCATTTAGAAGTATGGTATTAGTCAACAAATCAAATTGTGTTATTTTAGGTGTTTATTTCTTAAAATGACAAAGTAATACACTCTAAGCTTGTACCATGAAATTTCATATTTTGGTTGTTTAAGAGTATAAAGTGACTTACAGGGCATATATCCTTGGTAAGTTTTGTATATGATATCTTGTCCTTTCGAGGTGTTGTCTGATAGTTAAAAAGAAAATGAATAAAATGAATGATGTTGACACGTACGACAATGTATGGTCCAAGGGTTATGAAAAATTCATTTATCTTGGAAACATGCAAACCATACCAAAACCTATAAGGTCGAACTTCTTTGAAAGAAAGTTAGAAACATACCAAGAACCTTGTAGCCTGTCTAATATGTTTAAGTTCATCCCAAGCAGAGCCTGCATACTAAAAATAAAAATCATTGTTTAGATCATAAAGTATACATACTAGGCTTAGTTGGTCGCTTTACAAAAGAATTACTTATTCGAAATGCTCGTAATACAAATTATGATCTCTCAAGTACTTTTTCAATATCCAAGAGCCCAACCAATAGCCTTGTAATTTTATTTATTCATATTACTTGTAAACCTAGAAAGTTTAGAAACAACAAATGTAGTGTCTAGTATATATTTGAGCTACTGAGTGTGTTGTTGCTTCCTTGTGTTGTATGTCAATTTTGCAAAGTGTAAAAATTGGCTTTGAGACCGTTTCTCTATGAAAGACTTGGGAGATAAGCATACATGATAAGTGTAAATATCTATAGAGATAGATCAAAGTGAATAATTGGATGATTATCAAAAACTTTCTCAAATATGTAAGGAGGACAAAGGAAATGTTTTTGGATTATGGAAGAGCTAAGCATAAAGGCTTATACTGATCCTAGCATCCAAATTGATAGACATGACACTCATTCATAGTCAGGATTCGTGGTCATGATAAATCAAAGAGAAGTAACATAGAGAAGTTCCAAAGAAGTTCATTAGAGAGATCAATGTTCTAAAATTAATGGTTTTACCGATGCCTTTTGTGACTACAAGGGTAGAATCGGTTTAACTAAAGAATCCAAAGCTCATAAGTACACAATTCATATACTCAAAAAATGATTGTGCTCGAAAGTTTGTCTAAAATGAAGATGTGAGAGTCAGTAGAGTTAAATCAAAAGAGAATCTTGTCGGTATTCTTATACTAGGTTGAAAGTCATTATATTAGTTTCTTTTGATTTGGGAATATATAAAGTGTAATCTTTATTTAAAATAAGGATTATTATGTAAAGACCTTTGTATATGTTGGAGAGTAGTCACATTTATTAGTTTATTACTGTGTTCAATTTTCATGTTTACTTGGCTTCCTAAATATTAATTTATATAAATCCCCCATGGTCAGTCAAAATTTTGGATGTAAGTAGGAATTGAAGACTTTTATGATAACTTATTTCCGCTACCCCGGGTGATTTGGTGTTGATATCAAATGCATGGTTATGCGAAGACTGAACTAATAACTGATCAATGGTGCCGTATGTTGTGGTCGCCACAAGTCTCTAGAAAGAAACATAATCTTGAATATATAATATTAACGTCCTTCCATGTCTTATCTTTATACATATGACTTGTAAAACAGAGAAATATTTGATCACTTATCTAACGAATATTTCATACCTATAGGTTAAGAGTACATTAGTAATCCTGGATGAGGTACACCTTGCTAGGTTTAATTGATATGGGACAATACAGTTAGTGTGACAAGTGTAAGTGGGAGACTACTGGAAATATGCTCATAATCAAAATAGGTTGGTGATATTTCTTTAAATAAAAGGGCTCTTTTAGGTTACACACAAAATAATTGATCAAATGGTATAGTCTGTTGTGGTCGACACAAATCTCTAGCAAGAAACATCATCTTGAATGTATGATATTGACATGCTTCCATGTCTCACGTTCACATAAATGTCTTATAGACTATTTGATTACTTACCTAAGGACTATTTCATACCTATAGGCCATGAGTACATCAATAGTCTTGGATGAGTAATATGTTTCTTGGTTTAAACACTATAGGACTATGAAGTTGGTGTGAAAAGTGCAAGTCAGAGAATATTGGAAGTATGCCTATAGTTAAAACAAGTTAGTGATATCTCTATAGATAACAAGGTCATTTTGGTTTACGCAGAAGATATGATTTAAGAAAAAAAATGATAAAAATTAAATTATAGGGGCAAGTTGGTTAACTCATCATAAGATGATAAGTTATTTAGAAGGTAGTAAATGCAAATGGGTATAGTGAAATTATCTTTAGTTTGAATCATAACATAATTACTAGATAATTGTCCCACTTCTTTAGGGATAACAAAGACCTAAAAAGCATAAATATATATATAAGTCCTAACCTAGCTCCTTCTGAGAGACCTAGCCCGTGATTGGTGAAAGGAGTTCGGTCGTGCATTATGATCTACGCCTGTGCTGGCCATAACTTGGGAGGAGTTTGTCACAAGATTCTGGGAGGAGTTTGCACCAACAATAGAGGTGCAATCTGGAAAGGGAGTTTCAAGACCTTTGCTAGACTACTGATACGGTGGTAGAGATCACTTCAAATTTTAAGGAAAGGGTTGTGTTGGTTCCTAAGTAAGTTGTGGACGATGAGATGAACAAGGAAAGGTATCACGATATGTTGAGGGAAGAAATCAGAGAGTTTGTGATCTTATCAGGGTGCAAGACCATGAATGACAGGATTCCTAGAGCCCAAGAATAGGAGATTGACCAAGAGCACATCAGGAAGAGGAAAAAAAATCAGGTTCACATAGTTGGGGGTCCTGTAAAGAGACCCAACACTTTCAATTAACGAGTGAGGGGGCAGCAAGGCTGAGGTTAGTACAACACTTTCGAGAAACAGCACGACGAGGTATGTCAATCTGGGGGTACAGTTTGCTTAATGTACGACATGTTTGGTCATGTCAGCAGAGATTGTCCCCAAGGAGCGAGTCTGTTATCTTTTTACTACAGCCAAGTGGGCCATAAAAAGGCCTACTATACAGGATTGTTAGGTGGGGCGATGTAGGCATTAACACCAGCCACTTTGAGGATTACTGACGGGCGAGGGAAAAGTGAAGGTTCATGTGGTGAGCAGTCGAGCATTGTAGTTAGAGACTAAAGAGATCTGACTTTCATCAGTTTGCATCGCAAGTACATGCTAGATTCGTTTTCTTGATGCTCTTATTATTATTCCTGCTTATAATTGTATGATTTCATATGAGATTCTATGTTTGGTTTATCTAAGTTTCCACCTAGAAATTAGAATTTTCCTCCTGATGGGTTAGACATTATATTTTTAGAATCTTTATATGCCATTTTGCATACTGGGAGCCATACTTAGAGGATATTCGGGTGAGCCGACTTTAGTAATCTGATGTGGGAGACATCAAACAATGACATAACAAGCCTTAAGTGGTGGAAAACCAACAGTCGGTTTGATTTTTGGAGGTTTCAACAAGGAATCGAAGGAATTAGTAAGTGAGCATGGCAAATTTGAATGTAGGAATCGTAGGGATTGTTCATGATTACAAGGTAATGAAGGATCGGTTTGATTGTGGGTGTAAGATTGGTAGTTGTCAAATTCATACCTACAGGGTGTTTGATTTTATGATTCACATGGGAATTCCTCCATTTAAGGTAGGTCATTGGATTGGCTATCCACCCGCTAAGATAAGCAAGTTGTTTGTTCTTCATCATCTGTTATGGTGCTTGGAGATATTGAGTTTTATTGAGATATTGGGGTATATTTATCCAGTTTTGGAATGTGTGTGAGATAGGATTGGTTTTTCATGGAATGCTAATTCTTGTAAGGTCAGGTTGTCGACAACTTTGAGTAATAAGGTTGTGAGATGGTTTAGAAATCTATCGATTACGTGATTGGTAGAGCATATTTGAATGCAAAGTGGGGGGGGGGGGAACATTTAGATTAATAGGAATGATTTCAGGCATGAAACTAGAAGGAATTACATACCCTACACAAGGGGAGAGCCAGTTAATATCGTGGTATGGATTTAGGTTGCCACACAGAATAAGGGTTCAGTCTACCTTGCCGAATGCAAGACGCATCAACAAGGGTGCATGTCAAATATGTGATTAAGTGTAGGTTGAGGGTTGTGTTAAATCCTCTCTGACTGTTCTCTTCTGATTAAGGCTTTGGTTTCTAATAATGGCATAAACACTTGGTTGAGGTATAGTCAAATGAGGTTTTGACTCATGATTGATTATGGTATGGTAGATGGATAACAAGGCCATGGATTGAGTCCATGGCTGTTTTGGAAGTGTTGTAAGATTGTGATATGTCCGTTTTATTTACTAGGTTGGTAGGTAGTGGCAAAGGTGTTGTAAGACTGTAGGGTGGTCGTAGAATTCACTAGGTTGGTAGGTAGTAGTAGAAGTTTCATAGGACCGTGTGATGGTGGTAACATTCACTAGGTTGTCAAGTAGTGGTAGAAGTGTTGTAAGACTATCGGATGGCCCATAGCATTCACCCGGTCAATGAGCAGTCCTGAGGATATTGTGAACCTATGAGTTGGCTTGTAGTTCTCTCAAGGTAGGAATGGACCATGAAAAGATGGGTTGTAAGACTGTGGAATGACCACAACATCCAGATGATCAAGGAAGGATGTAGGCCAATTTGGGGCCGATTGTGACGTAAAACTATGGCTGGGCCGATAGCATTCATTGAGAAGTGAAGTGAAATATTTTATGGGCATGTGTTGTTCGGTTATTCATTCGTGGAGGACTGTTCTATCTATGTTAGCAAGCAAGCATGGATAGTTTCTGTTAGATAAGACTTTTGCTTAGAGTCTTGTGGTACGATCGTGCGTTAGGGTATCAACATTACCAATTGGTTGGGAAATTCGGCGCTTCGAAGAAATTAGTAGTCTAGTTCGAAAGTCAGGAGATCGTAAATGTGAATGTTTAGTTAGCAAAATAAGATAGTGTATTGGTTGGGCACCAATATTTAAGACTCGTGTTTTGAGTCGCCTTTGTTTTTGGTGAGAGGTTATAGGCGTAGGAAGTGCTCATATTCTATTCTCCATCATCAGTGGCTTAATTTAGGGTTTGAGGGGTTTGTTTGGTTCGGGTTAAATAATGAAATTATTATAGTAATTTTGGAATGGTTCTATCTGTTTGGGAGGTAGACAAGGCTTTGGATTTATGGATTTCAGATAGAGTAGTGATTCATTTGTTAAAGTTAGTGGGTTAAGAATTCATTATTCGTTAGGATATATGATTTCCACTATGTTTGGGTTTTGATTGTAGTATTGGAAGGCCGTCATTTGTATAAGTCGACTTCTTAGTTCGAATCAGGTTTCTAAATGGATGGTCTAAATAGCCAGGGGAACCTAGGATGTAGTAAGGAATGATTTCAAGGAC